TTTTAGTCACAATATGGCTGAAAACCTGCCGATGTGACAGGAAATCTTAACTCACTCACTCTTAGATCTCTATAGATTTTAAAACCGAGAAAAAACGGGGCGTATTACCATTTGGGTACCAACCTCATCTAAGTAGATCTCCTACCCATTAGGGCCAATATTCAAGGTAAATGTAACTTGTCAGTAAATATTCAAAGTCGGACAGCTGTGAAGATCCGGGTTAGAAGTGATCTTCAGTAGCCCAATCTTGTCGTAAGAGGCGACTAACAGGATCGGGTGGTCAGGCGTGCTGACTTGGTTGACACCATGCCATCATATCTCAGTTGCATGCGTAGATCACAGGATTGTCTGGTCCAGACTCGATTATTTACAGACCACCTCCATATGAAACGGAATATTGCTGAGTGCGGCGTAAACCCTAAACTCCACTCACTCATTCAGTGTCGGACTGACATTGTATCAGCCGTGTGCTGCTCTGAGCTGAAACAAACTATCAGAATGGGTTTACGCAAACCGATGCTCATCCGTGACACTTTAGATATTAATTGAGCCATGAAGAAATACCACACCAGGTTGTCAGGCTGCTTTCGGTGTCAGGCACAGTCTTCCTGATGCCATTCGGTAGTGGTAATGGCTCCGTAGGGCTATCTGTAACTTTAATAACACCCCATTAGGAATATTTTGTTTCACTCTGAACGTGAGATGGTGTGGATTATGTGTTATGGAAAAAATAATAATATCTAAGCAGATGTTTACGACAGTTTTGACAAGACTGAGTTTGGTTTTACGCCGCTTTTAGCAATATTCCAGCAACATCACGGCGGGGGATACCAGAAATGGAGCTTCACACAAACGTACCCATTTTGACAGAGACTGGCGTGCTGCTGCAGGAAATGTTTCTATAACCAAGTCCTATGGGCAGCTTAAATCAGTGTTTGTTTAATGCTTGAGATGTATTTTCTGACAGGCAATATCTTATACCGTGATATATGTGGGGTTTACTTATGTTGAATTTAAAACGGGAAAACAGAAGCCACCCCTCAGTTGATAGACTATTGCTTGTTCTTCCATTCAAATAAAACCTCACATCTATGTGGGAGGTCAAAGCACAACGGTAGAAAATTAAATCGTAAGCGGTAATACGGCAGAATGAATTTATCATACACGACATGAACAGAGTTCAATTAAGTTTTTATCAGATTAAATTCTTGAAGAAAAATACAAATACGGTCTTATGCCTATGCGCGCTACTTCATAGGTATGGTGAAAAATGATACCAACAAATTTCATTCCGCTTTGTAACAATCCAGTTGATTGATTTACTGTTGTAGTAACAACCCATATTTCTCCTATGCGTGTGTGTGTGTGTGTTATTGTGTGACATTGTGTGTGTGTGTGATGCTTGTACTAGCCCAGACTGCGACTGGTTTTATATGGTGCTAGCCCACTGGAGATACCAGGACACAGTTAAGCATGAATTCCCCCACTCAGACACATTATACTAACTCCGAGCCGACTCAGTCCTTGTTGTACCCATTAATGCCGAGTGCCAGGCGGGGACCAACAAGAACCATAATACTAACGTCTTCGGTATGACTGAGGCCGAGGGAAGTCGAACCCCTGACCTTCCGATTCCGGGCGGACGCTCTGACGATAACACCACGGAGGCGATCGGTTTCCAATTGGAATTTACATAAATGATATATTATATTTGAATAGGACATCAGATGCATTATTTGAAATTTAGAAAGCGGAACAAACCTTATGTACATATTATACAAAGTGTATACTATAGTAAACCAAGAAGTGGTATGTTTATTCGGTGGAAAATAAAGCCACAGACCCGGTATACAACGAATTACCATCATCAATTCACATCGCGAAAACAGAGGTAGCGCTTGTGGTGGTACATTGATACATTTATATTGTCGACACTGGAGGAGGGAACCCTGGAAAACTTCTGCAAAACAAGGAAAATAGACTACAAAGCTAAACAAGTGACAATACTTGCATCTGTAGATGTCTAAGTTGAATAAATCTTGCGCTACATGGGTGATTAATGTAGCATTTTGTTAATATATTTTCTCTAAGACCTTGGTAGAGAAAGGGACAAATAAGGCAAAGGCGATACTCGTTCTCTAAACAGGGTATTATACACACGGGACATAACCTTTCACTTCTTGGAATGTGAAGTTTTCTACCTTCGAAATCATAAGATCATGTGCTGAGGATCCTAAAGCTGTGAAAGGGCAATTTGCATGGCTTATACGACTATGCATAGTGATAAAGCGTCTTTAGAATACAATAAAACATTTTACAAATCTGTACATATTGTTAAACTTGGATACTTTTTGAAGGATGTTCCAAGAGGTACAATGGGTGATCAATATTAATACATTTAAACTTGAATTTCAACAAGAGTCTTCCACACAATCAACATCTTGATTTATCCAGAATATCCAAATCCGTAACTGGACCAAGTATACATATACTAAAGCACTAAATTATATTAAGTAAAGATTAGTTTAGATTTGTTATCAGCTTGTTTTTTGTTTACGGATGTTGTTGTTGTTGATTGATGATGATGATGATGACATGCCTTTATTTTACTCAGTCGAAATGATGGGGATTTCCAACCGAGGAAACCATGTTGGATTATTACTCCTCTAACTCCAAAAACCTCACATGCGCAGCAGTGCAGTTCAACGTTGCTACTGGCGAGCCTGCTCTACCCCAAAGTTGACGTACGCTGTTCGACCCGGATACTGTCAGAGGACGACAGATGGCGGACGCGACATTGAGACCTTCCCATTTTTCCAGACCAACTCTCCCCCGAGGTGACTCTGGCTCCCAGGTTAAATTGATGTGTATATTATTTACGCCGCAATATAGTTTGGGGATCCTGCAGACATTCTAGACAAACCAGTGATGATCGACGTTTCACACAAGAAATAGTACAGGGGATCGAGTCTGTGCCGAACTTGAAGACGGTTTCGGGATGCTGTCAAGAAAAATGGAGGTTGCAGTCATAAAAATCGCAGAAAAATACTTTTTGAGAGATCCAAGAGTATAGCTTTACGCCGCATTTAGCAAGGAGGAGGACATCAGAAATGGGTTTCGGACATTTGTACCCGGGTCTTTGGCGTGACCAGCGATCGACTGCTAACCATATTCTGGACCTCGTTCTTAAGCTTAATTTCGACAATCCCCCGAAAAGATGGTCTATCTTAATTTTAGGTAGTGTTGTCCATATTAGGATTTGCTATTATTTATTAGCAAACAGAATTGTGAATTTGGCTATGAAGTGATAGGTATAGACTCGCATGGTATGCTTACAGATTACAAAGGGTCCGGTTTTCTGTGGGTGCAGCGTCTCGTGGATGCAGCCATCATCAAAACGCATAATTCTTCCGCCTCCAAGCACCATTGATGGCCTTGACATTCGCCTGATGCGCATGCGCCTATCCGCCGTACATCGTGGACCCCATGATCCAAGTCTTGCAGAACCAGTTCCCGCTATTCCTCCTCCTCAGTTTCATCCTCTGTTACAATTCAAACGACCGAAAAGGCATTTCTACGAAAAAGGAAAGCTGAAGGTAGGATTTTCAGATTGTTTTAAGTGACACGGACCCATGAAAATCTGGTTTAGAATTGGTCTTCAGCAATCCATGCTTGTCGTAAGAGGCGACTGACGGGATCAGGTGGTCATGCTCGCTGACTTGGTTGACACGTCATCGTATCGATGCTGATCACTAGATTGTCTGGTGCAGACTTGGCGCCACATAGCTGGTACTAACAAAATTGTCTACAAAAGCGGCCTTAATGTTACGACAGTTGTGAGATTAAGTTAAAGGTATATATACACTTAACGCCAAAAGAAACGTTACCCTCCTTCCTTAATGACGGAGGTACCTATATTCAGCTGGCTTTTGTGATGCGTGGACGTCCAACTTCTTGGTCTGTCTATGGAGACCCCAGTCTGTCTGAAGCTCTGAATAAGTCTTATAACCGTGCTACGGTGGCATCCAGAGGCGTTGGCAACAGCATTGTATGTCCACCCCATCTGCACCATCCCAGTGGCTCTTTTCTCTCTCTCTTCAGCAGTTAATCGGGGCATCTTTCTCGTACTTGTGTATCATATCATGTATTCTAGGCTCTCTTCATACCTTACAGAATCATTCTACATGTGAAATAGATGCAAATAATGCTTGAATATTGCTGCGTTTTGGCAGTTGATATTGCTATGTGTAAACAAAAATGGAAAAATGTTACTTTGCAAGCAAAATGTAAACAAAGATAATTTTAGATGTTCCTAAACATTTTTTTCACAATATCAAAGACACGTTTTACTTGTTTTCACAAATGCAAATTAGCAGAAAATGTTTTAAAGACTGAAATCATAGCAATGATTATTTTACAATTTTACACACTCTACAACAGTTGTTTCTTGTGTAAATAGTTGGAAATGGTGCCTTTAAATGGTTTAACTTTGTTCCAAAAGAGAATTTTATTTCAACCGTTCCTTTGGACTTTAAATCACTGTTATTGGTTTTATTTCGGCATGGACGAATATAGGACAATTTAACTCTTCTCAAAAAGATGCATTTCACCTAAATATGAATGCTTTTGAGAATTCTTTTCGTGATTTGCATAAAGGTGTATTGTTAAGCTATCTTGTAAACTAATACCTTCTCACATATCTTTGATAGTTTTTCAGTAATTCATAAAGGTAGAAGGGTAACGTTTCTTTTGGCGTTTAGTGTATTTAGTAGGTCAGTTCATCAAAACGATCCCAGTGATCCCACGAAAGTAACGATTTCTAACTGGGCCCCAATTCAGAAAGCTATCGTAGCACTACGACTGTCGTAAGTCCATGTTACAGTATAGGAGGTCTTAGCGCTACTATAGCTTTGTGAAACAGGTCCTAGTATCCTGGTCTTAGCAAAGAAGAACATTTTGTTCAGCAGGGCCCAATAATTCCACCCGTCACAGCACACTGAATGCGAGATGATAAAGGTGAGAAATAGGTGTTTTTCAATGTGACGAGGACTCGATTAGTTGCGTAACCTACTACCCTGTTGGCAAGGTCCAGATTCGATTAATTTGAGATCGTCATCAACGGCAGTAACCTTGTTGAGTATGTCTTTCAACAAACAAAACGATAAAGTCTTCACACTCTCAGAAACAAACACGCCTTGTCTTGTCATTAGGAGTCCATGAAGTTGATGGGCTGAGTGCCGCTGCACATTGGATGTCTTGGTTTCTGACGGTCTTCATCTACATCGTGCTGGTGATGGCGGTCTACACACTGCTATGCGGCATTAGCATCAGCGCGAACGGTCCGGTCTTAGCCGAAAGTGACCCCTCTCTGCTCTTCGTGTTTCTCCTGTGCTACGGCGTGTGTGTCGTTTCATTCTGTTTTATGATCAGTGTGTTCGCACAGAAAGGTAAGAAGGGGACATAACTCATATAAAACAATACCACGTTATATTAAACAATAGACTACATAAGCAATCTATTATACGAGGCATGAACATAGCAGAAAGACTTATACAGAATACTTTTTAAATGAAATCATTTTCCAAAAATATTTATTCAATCGAGGTTTATGTAGTCAATATGTACTTAACTGGTATCAACAATTTCCTCGGTTACATTTTACACGTGTTTTTGACAACTATGCGATTGCCTCACTTAAATACTGAATTTAATCAACATGTTTTGTACAGTAAAAGTCCGTTGCAGCCTTGGTAACTGATTTAATGAGGGAGGCATCTCTCATCATTCGCATTTTTAATGGAACATTGAAATAAGCTGTGTGCGGCTTAGAACAACATACACATTCAGTAACACAACGAGTGAATAAAACACATAGTTATTTGAAAAATATTCGTGTAATGCATGCTAGGGCTGTGTATTGTAAATATATATTGTATTGCAATTATTGCGATTCAGGTATCCGTATTGCGATATATAGGGATCTTAAGTGTTTGACAGTGAGTGAAACTAATTGTGCATGTCAATCTTTTTTTCTACATTATAAGTCCCTAAACATACATGTTATGGTTCTGATAACAGCAATCTCAAAATTGGGTTGCCTAGTTAGGGATTCTATTTTCTATTTTTGTCATTGAATAACGAAGGAAAACATTGAAATGAATGAAAGTCTGTGTAGATTTTAATTTAAACTATAAAGGTATTCACAAAAACTCCATGTGTTCGCAGATAAGTATTGCAACGCGTATCGTCTGAAATGCACATTGCGATATACCGGTAATCCTATGCAGTCCTAAAACATAGGCATATGATTTCAGCCAACGTGGGTGCAGCTATTGCAGGGATCCTCTTCTTCTTCACCTACTTCCCCTACTTCTTCCTCCAATCTCGCTACGAAACTATGTCTCGCCCCGAGAAGCTGGGCGTCTCCATCCTCCTGAATATGGCCATGGCCTACGGGGCGAATGTCATCTCCTTGTACGAAGGGACTGGTGAGTGAGTGAATGAGTGAGTGAGTGTAGTTTTACGTCGCTTTTGGCAGTATTCCAGCAATATCAAGGCGGGGGACAACAGACTCCACACATTGTATCCTTGACAGGGGAATCGAACCCGAGTCTTCAGGTGACGAGGGAACGCTTTAACCATTAGACTACCCTACCTCCCAAAGGTAAAGTGAGGTGAGGTGAAATTGGGTTTAACGTCGTGCTTGAGAATGTTTCGCTCATATGACGACGTGCCCCACTGGTGAGTAGTCCTGGGCCTAGATTTTCGAAGCTCTCTTAGCGCTAAGATAGTCGTAAGTGCCATACATTAACATTAAGTTACGACTATCTTAGCGCTAAGAGAGCTTCGAAAATCTAGGCCCTGGAGTCCTGGGTGCCGTTCCACTAACCGATCTTAACTCAGATCAATCTTAGCAAGTTACGCCAATTTTACAATCGTCTTAGCTAAAAGTTACAGCCGTTCCACTAACCGATCTTAGGCCCATCGTAGCCGGTCCCGATCTTACGATCCGATCCAAGCTTAGATCGAGACTCTTTCGTGCGAGAGGCACATTGTTTTTAAGGAATGGAAAGTTACGAGGATATTACACTACTTAAATTACATTCAAAGTATTGGGAATATTTCTGTTATCAAAGTTATATGTCAAAATGACAAAATGAAGTCTTTAATTTGAAGCTGGTACACATCGCTCCATTCCTGAAAAGTAATGGAGCGAGCAGACAATGGAATGACGTCAAAAATGTAATTTAATCTTGAATCACACGCGGCTTGCCTTTAGAATCCCCCACCAAATATGCGCAGTGAAATTAAGCATATTTGTATCTTTTTGCTTCAGAACATTGTTCACTTCACGGCTGTCCCTATTCTTAACCATGACTTTGCAATATTGTTGTACAAATGTGTTACACCGACTCGCTCGGTTGTGTTCCCATGACGACAGTGGTCAGACTGTCCTGACATTTGTAAGGCTTCAGTGCAGTGTTTGTTTACATCACAGAAATATACAAATTCATTTCATGGGGGACTTTAGGGGACGCTCACGATGAAATGCTCGCACTTATTTTTCACATAGAATAGGAAAGCCACCATTTTGGTTTCTCTACGATTGATTTTAGCTATCCTAAGTTGGTCATGAGCAACTTAGACTTTGAATCTTAACTTTACGATTGACTTAGGTAAGATTGGTTAGTGGAACGGTATGCCGATCGTAACGTCACGCTAAGATTGGGATTTTAGGGGTTTACGAATGGCATAGGGCTAAGATCGGTTAGTGGAACGGCTCCCAGGGTGACCACTGACAGATTCTCCATACGTTATATATATAGCCTCCTCACGGCTTTGTTTATTCTGATTGACGAGGTTCAGGCACATATTAAAAGCTCTGACACAATTGACATTTTTGAAGTTCAGACTTAAAACCTGTTCTCAGTCTCGGCTGTAAATACTCTCGTGTAAATTATCTGTACATAACGCTTTTGGGCATGCCCCAGGATGTGGAATAGGCGCACTATAAATATGCATTTATTATTATTATATTATGCCTGATACCCAGCGTTCACACACACTTGCACCTGAAGCCAAGGTGCTAACTACTCCTAATATTTTGCTCTATGTTTTTCTCCACGTTTACACTTGGTTTGGAAAACTACCCTTGAAGGACCGGGTTAGAATATTGAACTTACGGGATCGGGTGGTTCGGGCTGACTTGACTGGTTGACACATGTCATCGGTTCCCAAATGCAGATCGATGCTCATGCTATTTGATCACTGTATTGTCTGGCCAGACTCGATTATTTATAGATAAGATACATAGCGTTCACTGACATGAACGCTCATGTTAGTGAACGCTATGCATCTTAGCTAGATTATTTACAGACCGCCGCCATATAGCGGGACTATTGCTGAGTGCGGCGTAAATCTAAACTCACTCACTCACTCAGTTGGTTCGTAAACTACTTCCATCATTTGCTAGACTATGCAAAGGGAGATAACTACACAGCAAAAATAACTCGGTTTCCGCAATGCGGAAACCTGGTAGAAAGTGGACTGAAACTTAAGTTTCCACCTAGAATCCAGTGAGTTTCCGTTCTTTAACATTGAGTTTCCGCAATAACGGAAACTTACAATTACCCACTTTCTAAGGGTTTCCGCAAGGTTTCCGTTACCCACACTCCAACAGGTTTCCGCAAGGTATCCGTTACCCACACTCCAAGAAGTTTCTGTTGAGTTTCAGTTAACTTTGAATCCATCAGGTTTCCGCAAGGTTTCAGTTATTAAGACTCCAAGAGGTTTCCGCATAGTTTCAGTTACCAACAATCTGATATAGTTTCCGCATAGTTTAAGTTACCAACAATCCGACAAGGTTTCCACATAGTTTCAGTTACCGGTTTCAATTTCAGGTTCACAGGTTTTCATATGCGTTTCAAAGAGCTAAATGTAAACATTCTTCTTTATTTATATCATAAACTCTTGTTAAAAACAATATAAGCAATTTGTTATTATCATGACATTTACTAAAAGAAAAACAGAATATATAATAAGATTCATAGTTTTATTTTCTCAACATGGTATGGATTAGCATTTAAGGCAAATAAAGATCATACATATAACTAGTAATATAGCACTAAAGAACAGGGCAAAACATATTGGCATAACTCAATCCAGTTTTAGAAACCATATATCATTTATAACAAAGTTGTAATTTTTCATCAGTTAAACTTTCATTCACTTATTATCTTGAAATAGCATGTTAGATACGAAATTTATTTCTAAAATCATGCTAATGATGAAAAATAACAATAACATACAACTTAACACAGTAATAAAACATAGCTGCATCGGACATTTATTTGCACGCCTTGGCATTCAGCCACACACTCTATGTCACAACTATCGCCAGACATCCACTATGATATACAATAACACAACATACAGCTTACAATACAAAAATAAAATAAAAATTACATTATGAAATTGAAAATAAATTCAATTAAATTGCAAGAGCTGGTCAGTGGGCCCTGTAAGGGGCATCCCTAGGCGGAGATCCCTCTGTTACTTTGGTTGGATGCCTCATCCTCGTCCTCCTGTTGGCCTTGACGAGAGCAGTGGAGGTGTAGATTCTTTCCAAGTCCAGTGTCGTGTATGCCATAAGCTTGCTGGACTCACAGACAAAGGGGACGGAATGCAACTAATTGACGTCATCTTCGTCACTCACGACTGGTGATGTCATGTCTATGGTGAGTGTTGCCGCTACCTTTTTCTATCGTCTATCTGGCCAATCAATAGATGCAAGTCTGTTTAGGCGTTGTACAAGTTTCTGAAAATGGCAGGTAATAACGAATTACTAGGTTATTTTGATGAATTACACAAACATCAATCAACAAGAAACTTACAATGCCAAGGATGATTTAAAATGAGTAATCCACAAGTAAGTTTGAATAAAGAGAACTAAATTGAACAATCACACTTTGCACTAGTTTTCTCAAAACTCAAATTATGCAATTCATCACTTCATTGACCGAATGTAATATCTTATTTTCTAAAGAGGACACAGAATCTATACAAACTTTGCTCTGAAGTTACATGGTTCCCAGACCAGAGGTAGTAATATGTTATATATAATATCTGAACATTTATTGCATTTTCTATGTAGTAATAATGGTAACTAGTAATAGATTTTTCATCAACGTTGTATTGCTAAAAAGCGGTGTAAAACCACCGCCGTGATGTTGCGGTTGATGTGACTGTAGTGACTGTATGTTTACACCATTACGTCTTTGAGGTGTATTTAGAAGTGAATAATACAAGACACGAATATTTCGGATGTCAAGGTCTTTATTATGTGAAAACACAGTGTTTCGGAGTGAATGCTTACACCTGACGAAGGGGTAAGCATTCACTCTGAAACATGTTTTCACATAATAAAGGAGTTGACATCCATAAACCTTGTCTCTACTCTATTAATTGGAAATTATTTACTACTTATAATGAAAGTCACTACAGATAGGTCAAAATTACCTTCACACATGTTTCAGCTGACCATCCTTGGTCATTCGTTATACAGTCTGCAGACTCATCATCAGCTGAAAAAAAACAATAACACGTTACTTTTCTTTGCATTTCTCCATTCATTCATTTGAGGTTTAACAAACCCCCAAACAATTGCAGCGACATTTATACCAACAAGCAAACTACAGATTTATCACTTTAAGGTTATGCAATGAGTAAGTGAACGGCCTGACATAAACATCCTGATGAATGAAGTTCAGTTATCACCTGTGACATAACTTGGAGTAATTACGGCATTGTAAAATCAAGGGGTCAGGTTTTACTGCCATTTCACACAGGTGTGAAGTTTATTTGGTCCAATTTGAAATCATGATTAAGTTACCGGTTATTCAAATCCATTTTGCAAATGTAACTTGGTATGGTTCATTTGGTGAGAAAATGTATCTAGGAAAGCATAATAATAAAATATTCAAAGTGAAATTACATCTATGTTTCTTAGTACCATAAACACATACCTTCAGTTAGAGAGGGTGATCTTTTCTTCCAGGAGTGGTCGTGACACGTTTCCTCACAACAGCCTAAATGAATAAAAACAAATCAATTAATATACAATCTATTTGCTATATTTTTCAAAATTGTAGTATATTTTAGATAGACACTTATTTTACTTCACCAACCTTTGAAAATAGTTCGTGCACAACTGTTTATACAGTCAGGGGACTTAGATATACGTCAGTCGGCAAAATTCTCATAGACTTGCATGCTATTTTAGTGTAGCTATGTAATTTTCATTAATTCAGTTTTCCATACATGTATTTGGTTCTCAAATTATGAAGGCTGTTAGGAAATAATCTTGGTCACAGATACATAATTTTCCGCATTGTAGTTACATGAGCAACATATATACAACATTGCGTATTCTTTCCCCATAGACCGCCATGTTAAAAATTGTCATAACCATGACACACATTGAATTGAA